GGGGGGGGGGGTTGAGGCACCCCTTTGGCCAAAATAGGTCTGCTTGAAATTAAAAATTGATAGATCTGTGTTTTGTGCAATTTCTGTTATAGGGCTAACTATTGGGGGTATAAAAGGGTCCACACAGAAAAATACCTCTACCCCTTTTATATTTCTGGTTTGAGGCCTGTGTAAACAGTGCTTCAGACTCATTGTAATTCATCTTATCAACTTCCATAACTTATCAAACCCACTTACTAAAACTGAGTCTAGCTGTATAAACCTCAAGTTACTGTGTTAACTGAGCTTAGCTGTATAAACCTCAAGTTACTGTGTTAACTGAGCCTAGCTGTATAAACCTCAAGTTACTGTGTTAACTGAGTCTAGCTGTATAAACCTCAAGTTACCCTGCTTACTGAGCCTAGCTGTATAAACCTCAAGTTACCCTGCTTACTGAGCCTAGCTGTATAAACCTCAAGTTACCCTGCTTACTGAGCCTAGCTGTATAAACCTCAAGTTACCCTGCTTACTGAGCCTAGCTGTATCATTCTCTTCTATATCAAACTCAAAACCTGATTGTTATTGAGGTAATACGATTAGCAGTGATACACAAGGGTGATAAATTCAATTTGGTTTATACATATATCTGGATTATAGGATTATTATGCTGGAATGGACACTGACAGGGATTACTGGGTAGAGGGATATAACCTTAGCGCACTCTGGTATAATTTACACTGAGGGCGTGGCTCTGTTTAAGTTAGGCTGGCCTAACTTGGCACCAAGCATCTCTGGTAGCAGTCTGGTTTTTGATTGATAAAGATTAGCTCTCCATTCAAAATCAGTCTAATGTACAGCTTTTAGTTTGCATGTTTCATGCCTGACTCCCAAATAGCCAGACTTCCAAACTGTTAGTACTGTTAAGTCCTGTAATATGAGCTGTGAGAGAGCTAATTCAATTGTTTCAGATCAGGAAGTATACTAGTAATTAGGTAGAATCACAGATTAATGGACAAGTTGTGTGTTTTGATGTCACAGGGCACCTGTCATCATTTAAAGCTCTCTGGGCTTGTTCTGAACCAAGTTGATCCCCAGACGTATTACATGTAGATATCAATCAATAAACAGTAGACAGAATAATTCAAATGAACATGATGTGGAAAATACTGTTTTTTTAACCAATCAAATTAAGTGAAGCTAGTGTATGTCATGTTCACTGAATGAATGTTTTAATTCTCATCAAATTGATCAATATTGGCTGATGACAATTTAAGTGGTGTCATCCCTCATTTTATCTAGATATATTACATCCCAGTGCAGCACTTTCAGCCAAAGATTTTCTGGTTCTCTGCAACCTTATCTTGTGTTAAGTCCTATGGGATATTTACATAGATTGATGGATGTAAAGAGAGGCCCCATGTTGTTATGTGTAATCCCCCTCCCCCTGGGGATTGTGGGTTCAGGGGAGGAGGTGGTAATGGGTCCCTGGGATGTCTAAACATTACCATGTCTGGCTTAGTGTGTGCCGGGTGAATAGTAAGGAGAGAGTCTGGCTTAGTGTGTGCCGGGTGAATAGTAAGGAGAGAGAGAGAGAGGGAAAAAAGAGAGGGGGAGGGAGGGAGAAAGAGAGAGAGAGAGAGGAGAGAAAGGGGGAGTGGAGAGAGATGGAGAGAAGGAAGAAGGGAGGAAAGGGAAAGAGAGAGGGGGGTGGGGGATTAAAGCTTTTGAAATTTGTTTTTTTAATAAAAGTATATTTGGGAAATCATTTTCCCTGTATATCTGAAAAGTATTTTAGCTTGTTAGAGATTTTTTTCTTTAATGTTCTTGTGAGATGGGACTATTACATTAGGGGCTGATGTTCCGAATAGTGTATTAGTCTGGGTTGTATGGGTATTGGTTTAGAAACAAATAAATGTGTTGGAAGTGTCAGAGAATGGGGTAAATAGAATAATTGAATAAAGTAGATGGAAAGCAAGAGTTGGACATAGCTTGTTCATCAACTCCAGCTATCTAAAATATGTCTTTTTTCAACCACAAATATTTGGCTTCCATTCTCTGCAGGCTTGCAAGCTAAGGTAAAATTCTCTGAAATTAAAAGAAAAAAAAATTTATCAGTTTTGGCAGAGTTACTCAGATGTGTGGCTTGTCTTGACTGAAAAGAAAAGATATTAAAAATGATACATTTCACGGCCATTTTATCAATGAAAACAATGAAAATATTTGACAAAAAAATATTAATCTGGAGTAGCCTCATTAACTCATATGATGAGTGACACTTGAAGATGATAGATGATATGATTAAATGATAGTTAATTATTTCCAAGAGAACATCAAGAGCCACATAATTCTCTTCCTATATAAAAGTAATGCTCAGGTATCACTGAATGCTATGACAGTGACATACATACCTGTTGTCTCACCTGGTCCCCCCTAAGCTGTCTACCTGTCTACTCACCTGTGTCTAATATAGCACCTCTCATACATGTTAACTCATCTGTGTTGTGGTCTTCAGTACATTGTTGATATGTACTCATAGCTGGTTCATATTTGGTAACTTAGATCCCCCGCCACTGCTTCTCTATATTAGGGCTCTATGGTTACTTGTACATTTGCTTAGTATTGGTTTTTGTATTAGAAGCACATCATTAAAAGCGAAGTTCCTTTCTCTCTCTCTCTCTCTCTCTCATGGGGGGGGGGGGGGAGAAAGAGAGAGAGAGCTGTGAAATAATCAACCCGGTTTGGACATGTTATCAGTGCTATCAACTACCTGGAGGTAGATTTAGGGATTATCTGTTTGTCTTTGATACAGGCCACATTCAAGCTGTACTACCCTCTACCAGGGCGAGTGATAGATTTTTTTACAGATATTCACTGATATGTCTCTAGCTAGATAGATGGTCATTTAGGGCTAGAGACATATCTGTGAATATCTGTAAAAAAATCTATCACTCGCTCTGGTTGAGGGTAAAGCTGTACCAGGGCTTGTGAACTTCTTGATGGCAAGAGCCTGTATCTTTGTTTACTGTAGGGATTTTATTACTGATAAACAGCCATTAGAATTAAAACAGTAACCAGAGTGGAAGAGGGGCATGCAAAAAACAGCTGGATCAAGTGAAAAAATTACTGAACAGAAAAAAACTGCTGTTAGGATTGACATCAAAGCTAGTGGTACAGCAGAAATAGTTGCTATTGTAGGCTCAGATTTCAAAACAAAGGCAGTATTGAATTGTCATTAAGAAGTGCTGTTAATCCAGAACCTAGAGCAAGGAGATCTTTTCTCTTGGCCTAATGGTCTATGGGAAAGAAAAGCTGTTTTGTTGGCTTGATGAATTTTGTATGAGGGAGATTGTGTAAGAGTGTGTAATGTGGTTCTGTGGACGTGAGGAGAGTTAAGGGGGCCAGAAGAAGGTATTGAACTGTATAAAAATAGAACAGAAAACAACAAATACACAAACTCTTCATACCTGTATAACTGTATAAATAACCCTCTGTCATAAATACCTTGGATCCTTTGTTTGGTGATAAGCCAATTTTATTCATGGGGCATGTGAGCTGTACATGTAATACATAGAGCAGTATTCTGTGTCCCCATCTTAAAATAGATTTATTTTTCCACCTTAAACAGTGTCAAGATGGGGAAGGGGGTCACATGTCACATTTGGTATATATTTAGAACATTTCATTTGTGAGCTGTACTCATCCATTTATAAAAACTTGGTGCATGGTACAGACAAAGCAAAGAATAAACCATTATTGAGTTACTGTAATGTAATGCATTGAAACCATTAGTGAAAGAACTATGCTAGGTTTAGAAAATGATGTTATCATATTCAGTCATTTGATGCAAAGGCCAGTGAGCCATTTACAATAAGTAGGTGAAGTTGGGACATATTGGGCTAATAGTTCCACTCTTGTGTCATTGGTAATGTTCATATTCCTCTGTCTGCTATAACAAGGTGTAACAGGAATACTGTGACAGTTAATACACCTGGTAGTGCCTGGGTTGTGGAATGTGGTCCTTTTGTGTGACTGTGAAATATTAGTTCTGATGTTTGATTTTCTTGTACTTTTCTGTTTGTTTGAAGATTGAAGGGACTTTATTATCAATATGTCATTTTTCCAGAATGGGGCATACTATTAATTTATTTAAATCATAAGAAATTTATCTTACTTGCCAACTTTGCTATATTTGATGATACATTATATATTGACGGTATAACAGTACATTATATAATTTTACTCTTCATATTCCAGGCTTGCTCCCCAAAGATTTACGTCAGTATTTGAGCACCAGATTCCAGAAAGGTTCCGTGGACCATGACCTCCAACAGACCATTAGAGATAACCTCTACCTCAGAACTGTACCATGTAAGTACACCCCCTCCCCCTTCCCCTCTCTCTCTCTCTCTCTCTCACACACACACACACACACACACACACACACACACACACACACACACACACACACACACACACACACACACTGTGACCTCAGATAACACTAGAGAAGATCAGATCAGATAAGCAACTTTGAGCAGTCTTCAGTCTGCCACAGCGCTACCCCAGTCTGCCATTATCCTCCAGATAATAAAGTACGCAGCAAGTCTCTCTCATGTTGTTCTAGGTGCTCTCTCATGTTGTTCTAGGTGAACTCTCATCCTAAGGGACATTTCTATTGTCCTGCACACTGCCCCTGTTCTTTCACATTGTAAAAGGTGTCCATATAATCTACTGTGTCCATTCTTGTGAAGGACCAAGAAAAGGGAGTGTTTAGAAAGGTGTATGAACTCCCAATCTCTGCCAGATAAAGGGGAATCTAAAAGCATTCTGTAAGGGTAATCAAGCAGAATGTATGAGGGGATCAAAACAAAGTTTGGATTTGCCTGAAGGTGGCAGCACATTGTGGAGAGACCAAGACGAGGCACTCCAAAAGCATCATGATGTGCTCAATCTTTGCTTGATTTATCAGCACTCGGTGTCTGTTTACAGTAAAGCTTGGTTAGTTGGAAGTTTCCAGACTGTAGAATCAAAGTGCTGGTTGTTAAATGGAAGGAGCAGGGTGCGATGAACCCAAGACAAGATCACTGAAGGTTTCAGCAGATAATTATATTTCACAGGAAATATATCCCGATCACTTTAACTCCTTCTGTTTTCAAGTGTTTATTTTCATTTCACTCTTGAAACTGGGGTGATAACCTGAAATAATTGAGGAAGTGGGAATTTTTTCAGATCTCCACTACCAGAACAAGTGGTTGAGGATAGACCTGGCAGACAGGCTTGATAACACCTGTCATTATTGACTGTGGCAGTTTTATAAGATACAGAAGGAAATTAAATACCAAACAAAAAATGTGAATTTTTTAAAGGGGAAATGTAGGAGGTGTTTGACCCATAGGTCATTTTAGTCAGTGTGAAATATTTAGAATTTTATGGTGGTGTCAAAATAAAATGTTTTTGAGTTTGTCCTGTTTAAATTTCCCTGTTATGATACTGGTTGAGTGTTAAGCGTTCCATTTCAACATTTGGTCTCTGAAATAAAATTGCCTTTAACTCTGTGTTTTAAACTTCATTTTTTATGACCATTAGTTCTGTCAAGATAGAGATATCAGATGTCTCCTCTAGAGGAAGTTCTTGAAGTTTTTTATGGCCAAGTTTGATGGGAAGGGGTTGGGCGTGTATCCAGACATATGACCAAGAATGTGTGGCCTTATTTCAAGAGGGATTTCCAGAAAGAAGCAGACATTTTTAAACGCTTCCATCTTGACTTACAGTTTGACTTAAAGACTTCATATTGACAAGAGAACTGGACAAGTGAAGGTAGATTATAATACTGTAAGGGAAAATGAAAATAAATACAATGAAAGAAAATTATATATGACACATCAAATGTTTGACACAGAATTTCTGATAATGCTTTTGTTGATGAAACAATATTCGTTTTGTGATGTTATTGACCATAGTGTGAAGCATTTTAGGAGAATATCATTGGTATAAAACTTAAGACAAGGAGTTGCATTACTGATATTTATTAAATTGGAATTGTAACACCAAATATACATAATGAGCTATTTGTGGTAGGCAGTGTTATCTAATACTGTGCTGGGGTGCCTGTCAATAGTGGATAAAGCAAGAAGAAACATAATGAGATATTAAAAGAATACAACACATTGTTTTTTTTTTTGACAATCTTGCATCTTTGGTTGCAGAATTGGCTCCATGTTATCAGACATAGGGACTGGAGAGTTGTCTTTCTTTTGACTCCTGATCTGGCAGTGTGTTAAGAGAACCATGCTGTACTGTAAATATACACCTAATACAACCACTCTCCTCAGTCAAAACACTGAACTCTAACTTCACCACGCCTGAATGGTCCTCTAACAGTGCCCGAGATTAGCAAACACCCCAACAAACGAATTGTATTATTTTCAAAAAAGTGCACAAAAGGTGAAAGTAGCAATCTGTGAGTGTATTTACTTTTAAGCAAAGTAAGAGAACCCTTTGTGGTGTTTAACTTTATATTACGCAAAATTGGTTCTTTGAGTGGAAGGAAGAATGACATCACAGGTGTAGGCGCCAGCAAAGAAAGATGAACGTGACAGAGTTAAAATTAAAAACTTAAAGGATAAGCTTTCAAAGAGCTTTTGTTCTTTGGGTTTGGAATGCCTTTTTACAGAAGGGTAAATAGAGGACTTAGCTCTTCGGCAAGTTTTTTTTCTGTTCAAGGGTAAAGAAATAAGCAATTGGGAGGTCTTTTTTACGAGCTTTGCTAAAATAGATGCATGCATCAGGATAGCAGTAAAACCAGGTCTGGCTGTGGCAGTGACGGGGTTGTTACAGGAGACGGGATCCATCTTTTTGCTGCTGTTTGTTTGCAGCATGTTGAGCCATGTGTTTTGCCCAGTAACCTCTTCCTGCAGACTGCTACAGTTTTTGAGACTGTTCATTTTAATTTTATGGCATCATTGACTGCCTGGGCCTTGCTAGCAAGCATTTAGAGAAAAGGCATAGAACTTGCTGTGTTCTTTTAAAATTAGGTTCAGGGATCCTTTATACAAAGTTACCAACTTCTGGAACAGTTGGCTGTCACCTAAGCTCAAGATTGGATTTACTATTAAAATTTAAGAAAGAGTTTCACTTTCATCTTAAGTTATTTCAAAGAGAAGAGGCAATGGTGGTGTTCATGCCATGTTAACATGTATTCTGTGTTGTTATTCCAGGCACCACTCGTGTTCCGAGACCTGGCGAGATCAACGGCGTGGACTACACTTTCCTGTCCATGGAGGACTTCCTCGCTCTGGAGAAGTCTGGGACACTGCTAGAGAGTGGAATATATGATGGTGAGTAGCTTGGATTCTGGTGTCTAGTGGTGTCTGGTTTCAGAAAATCAAATTAGTTTTGTAGGTTGAAGTCTTTTTTGAAATTTTAAGGTCTGAGGACCAAAACCATGGCCCTAATGCCCTATGGCCTTAAACTAGAAGTGTGTGGAAAGGAATGTATAAAACTTTACAACATTTGGGTTTAATTGATTTTTTGGTAGACGGAGTACAAACTTGCTCAACTTTACAAGCACGTACCTTGTATGTCCTTCCTGTAATCTTCTGCAAGCAATTTATCAACAATTTTTCAACAATTCTCCTTCATCTTGCAGGTAACCACTATGGCACCCCCAAGCCCCCCAAGGAGCCCACCCTGCCCCCATTCCGTCGCACCAACTCTGCCAGCATGCTTCTGCCCGGGCCACACCCCTCCTCGGAGGGCAAACGACGGCGCAACCGCTCAAACGTAGAAACCACGTCAGTACCCAAGGCCTTCAATGATGTAGAACAGCCGACAACGCCGGGGACGCGAAAACGTCAGCTGGAGAGGTCGAAGAGTGACCAGGATTTGGGCAGTAAAGACATGGGTCCCATGCCACCGAACTGGGAGGTGGCCTACACTGAGGAAGGGAACCCATACTATATTGAGTAAGTAGAGATATTAATAGGAGTGTATAATGTGGATTGAAAGGCTGTGGATGTGGGTTGTTAGGCTGGCTATATGGGTTATTATGTGAATTGACAGGCTGTAAATATGGATTGGCATGTGGTTTATTAGTCTGTAAGTGGATTTGGATTGATAGAATAAACTGGATGCATTACAAAAGACTTACAAGAACATGATTGCAATCTTTTGCATTTAAAAGAGATAATTCTTGCATACTTGCTCATGTCAGTCTATAGGTTAGTGCATGCAGTGTTGTAAAGCATGAAGATGAAGCATTTATTACGGATCATCTAATAACTCACAGCATAAGATTTGTGATTATCTAAATCAGTATGTGACCTTCACTGCAATGATTGTGAAAATGAAATAAAATGGACTAGTTAGAGCATCAGAGGTCTCACAATAGACCTCACTGAGGTAGCCCACTACCTGGGAGAAATCTGTCCCGTCGTAGTAAACATGTTTACATGAAGTGGTTAAAAATGACACTTGTTTGGAATGTAGTTTTTAGGACCCCCAGATTAGTGACTGTGTCCATCTCTTGCATTTGGTGACGTGTCATGGAGTTGTGATCTTGTCAGCTTCAGTCCCTGGTGGTCTATTAGAGATAAGCATTGTTTTTACTCTGGAATGTTATTCCGTCAAACGGTCTGTGACACATTTTTGTGAGTGCACTGAAATACCCACAGTATGGCTTAGTTAGGTATGTGACCTTGAACCAAATGCTGACTGGAATTAAGTTTTATTTGACTCATAGGAAAATATTATTTTGGTTAAAAATATGAGGATATTTGATCTGTTTTTATCATTGTAATCAAAATTGTCATTTAAAGAAATAGAGTAAGAGCTTACTTTCAGTTCCAACTTTAAGTATTACTGAACATCTTGAATAACTGAGGATTAGTATAGGATATAGTATTTTACTTGCCCAATTTACACCAATCATCAGAAAAGAAAATACATAAATGAATAAAATGAAAACAAAATGAGTGAATAGAACCAAATAAATGAATGGAATTATTGAACAAAAGAAACAAACAAATAAATAAATGGACTTATTGAACAAATGAGGGCACAGGTAAAGAAATTACTAAATTAATACGTGAAGAAATGAGATAAAAGGAGAGAACACCTGGTTACTAAGCCTTGTCTGTGAGATCTCCTAGCCAGGCAAGAGAATAGGCTCACAGCTTAGTGAGAAAACTCCATTGTTAACTATGCCAGAGGTGAAGACACTGTCCCTGGAAGTAGACGACAAACAAATCTCTTTGAAGAAAACCGAGCACTCCATGTTTGACCTGTCTTTGATGTACCCTGAGGCTCATGGTGTCATGTAATGTGTCTCTCAGCAGGTTGTGGTGCTGTAGTTGTACCCTGAAGCTAGCTGGATACATGATCCCCGGGGTGATAGGAGGAGATGGCTACAGGCAGGAGGCTGATAGGAAATAAATATTTCTTTAAAGCAAAAAGATTAAGAAGAGCAGAGTAAAAATTGTGAAAAGGGTGATGACATTTTACTGTTGATGGTGTTTGGCTTACATAAATGTGCCAATTACTGTTTGACAATGGCTAAAAAGCAAAACAAAACAGAAAGTCCTTTTCCAAGAAAGCCTGTAACTATGCCCTTGGTAAAAGACAACAGGTTCTTCATTCCCTTCAGAATTTGACCTTTATAGATCAAAGTGTCATTTGTTCTGAGGGGATGACAAAAAGCTAAACAGTTTGTTTGGCTTGACGGTGCTAGCTAGTATGTGAATGTTTGATGATTTACACACACACACACACACACACACACACACACACACACAGAATGAGAGAGACTATGTTAACAAAAATAAGTTCTTTGTACTTTGACAACAAAAAGCAGGAAACACTACCGAAAATTGTTAAAACTGAGGGGCAAATTATTGTAGAAAATGAATTGAAAATAAAGGGTTGAATGTCACAGTTCACAAGACAATGATGTACAATCCATCTTAAAAAACTGGGATGTCTTTTGATAGAAGTAACCAAACCCTACAACAACACATTGCCTAACATGTACAATGGACAGGAATATCATTTTTCTTGAACAACAAATTTGACTGCACAAGGGGGTGGTATCAACAACCACAAAGGCTGTACGCATCCAAGTCCACAGGTGTGTGGTGTAGACATTGATAAAATGATGCACCTGAATAGAGAATATATGGAGGAAAGATGATGATTTCACAGGAAAAATGTTATGTACAAGTCCCAAATGTTGTGTGTGACAAGTTGGAGCAACTAGTGGGAAGAAAGAACGTAAATTTTCACCTTTTAAACATGAGTGGTGAGTCTGGTAGCAGTCTATTGGACAAAGAAGAACAAAAAAACAAAAACTTGATGTAATATGATCAACTTTAATGTTTTATGCAGAATCAATAGCAATAATATCAAATTATGTAAAAAGAAGCCCTATACTCTCATGACAATAGTATCATTTTTGTCTTTGAATATTAACAGGAAAAGGCACTATCACCCACCTTGAAAAGACCTACTCCATTAAATTATTTGAACACCATTGCTAACAAATATGAAAAGCCAGGAGAGTTGTTGTATTCAGGTCCTCAGGTGGTTCTGTAGAACAGGTGTCTGTGCTCAGATTACATAGTCCATTAGTTGATGAAGTCATCTATCATCAGATAGAGCTGTCATTGCTCTGGCTTCATAACACACCTATACACACACCTGCCTACATATATAATATTTTGGTGAGGTTAAACAGGCAAGAATTAGTTGTCTCTGTCTTTGGAGAGGACTGTATCTCTGGCTCTAAAAAGAGGATGGCATTTTTGGTTTTAAAAGCAGCTGGTATTTTTTGGTTTTGAAAGAGGATCATGGTATTTTTGATTTTGAAAAAGGATGTTATTTTTGGTTTTGAAGAACTAGTATTCTGGGTGGCTATAGAGTTGTTTGTAATGTATGTAAGGGGCGTGTGTTTGGATGAATTCAAGTTGAATAGACATGCATTTTTTCATGAGGAAATCAAATCAAGAACTGATCTCAGTGGGCAGACTTATTAAGCCCTAGATATATTTCAAAAGCCATTAACTCCAGTAGTACATGTCACGGCCATTGGACAGTGAACCCTTTATCTAAATGAGACAAATTAAAGCAGTTTTTATCATATATGTCAGGAAAACAGCCAAATATGCAGATAAATACAGTGGTGGTGGAGAAATGGCAGGTTGATGACAGACAGGAGAAATGGGCAGAATGAGAGGGATTAGCATACCTGTTTACCGCTAATAGACCTTCTTACCTTTATAGCTTCACTTGCTGGCTACAGTCACATGGGGGGTGTTCATATTGGGTCAGAACTGGTCTTTGGCTGGTTTATACTGTTTGTGTTATAAAGGTTCTGGTTCAGGGTTATGGCCAGGCCCCAGTTTCTTTAAAAAAAAAACTCAAGTTAGGTTCCAGTGCCTAACATCTTTGTTACTAAGGTTACATGGTCACATGCACATATCTTACCCTATCAGGAACAGTGTTACAGAACTCTCATGGACACATGCACAACATCTTGGTCAGCTAAGGGTCTAGGATTCTTTGTGAAATGAGGGCCAGGCACACACAAGTCAGTATATTTCGCTGGAGATTGTTGATTGTTATCAGTCGTGTTTGATTCCATTACCTTGAGTTGATACCACATTGTAACTAAAAACAATCAACATTACTTTCACCATGTGAGTATACTGGCTCAGTTTACAAGGATTACGAAAAAGGCAGATTGCAATCAGTCATAGTTGATTGCTTTATCTGTCTACGAACCTGATAAAATCGTATGAACAATATCAGTATCTGTAAGGAGTGGATCGTATTCCAAGTTTGGTACGTGTGAACTGCCACCTGGTGACGTCTACTCAGTCATTACTGGAACAAGCCTCGTGTGACGGGAGACAGTTCCCATTACACAGTCCGTAAAAAAAACCATCTCTGAGGTCTAACAGCATACTTACCCTACCAGCATTTTAATAAGACATTTCAGACGCGCAACTATGCACATGTCGGATATATTATACATATGGAGATAACCATGACCTGATTTTGAGTGGGTTTAATCGCTTCAAGGGAGACGCTCTGGTTTAATTTCAAAGACAGAGAAGTTATCACTGGAGTCCGTGTGGAGTTTATTAGGACATCTTGTGGGCTGTTTTAGGCTAGGACTGACGCTGACAGGAGATAAGATCTAAGGATTGTTATTTAGGGGAGGGTAACACACATTGAAATACCTGCATGGAGTTTTCCTGACTTGTAACCATACAAACTGGTCTTGTTGATACCTAGGAGCCCTGAGACACTGGAGGGAGGAGACCAGCTTTCTGGTAGATTTCTACGAAACTCTGAGGATTTCTTGTCACTATTTTCATAGGATTTAACATAATTCATAGAAGGGATGTTTCTGTGAAGATTTTGGTATAGTTTGAATTTGTTGCGTGGGCGGTCTTTTGGAATTGTTTTATGGCATGCGCTAGGTAAGATGTGAGATATTGGCAGCAGACATTCCCAGCAAAGAAAAAGGAGGATTGAAATGCTGTACAACTACTTACCAGTTATTCTTTGGAACAATTTTTGATTCTGTAAAACTTGAGGATAAGCTCTTAATAATTTGTGCCTTGGAAAAAAAATTTCAACACTTATGCGGGCAAGCTGTGCGACACAATACACTACTTGAAAAACAGCCTCAAAAGAAGTATGGTGTGATACTTGAGGATATATTTCATCATTTGATATTGTGTGCATTTATAATCATAAGAAATTAGGGATTGGCCTTCGCTGTTGTGCTTTAGTGGAGGATTTTCTTCAGGAGGTATCGAGTTTGGATGAGTGTATCAGTTTTACTACTGACGCTTTAAAAAAGAAGAATTACCATATATTAGCATTTATTTCTCAGATCAGTCAATATACATACAAGATTCATGATTTAAACAACCGTCAAGAAGAAACTTTATAGGCTATCCTAGTGTATGGTTACCATGGTGATATCCTAGTATCTGGTGTCCATGGTGATATTCTAGTGTCTGGTGACCATGGTGATATCTGTGACGTCTCCACGGCAATGGTCCTAATGTATATCACAGGGATTCAGGACCAGAATAGACTTGAGCACCAGTCTGCCTGCAGGCGCTACTATAACAGGCTCTGGTCGTTTCGATCTAATACCTCGGAATTCTCAGGATACGAGATTGATTTTGACAGGTATGGTATGTGGTTTGACAGGTCTTGGGCCCTGTAGGGTAATTATGTATGTCCTGTAAGATTGAATTTATATTAAATATGTTTGAATTTTTCAGCTGTAGGAGAGATTGGTATGTTTTTTTTTTAATGTTATGATAACCCTGTGATTAAATGTATCATAGATTGATCAGAATACTGGACTCCTGTAGGCAATTGTATTACTATATATATATAGTGGCCATTGAAATCATAGAGCCATGATTGCTTCAGACATGTGATAGACTTTGACAGGTAGATTATCCAGTTATAAGATACACATTCTGGTGTGACAGAAAATAATAATTATTTTTATACACTGGAACTTCATTCTGACAAGATATGACCACCTTGATGCCTTATTTTTAAAAGGTTTAGTCTAAGTTTTGAGCATGTGAATGTTGTGGTATGAGGTCTTATGTTATAAAGTGATGTTAAAATCATGGGATATGTGGTGAGGTTACATGGTATGAAGTGGGGATTGTGAAGTCAAAGGATGTGGTATGGTATGGTATGGTATGGTATGTTATAGTGTGATACGAGTTTTTAGATTTTAGAATCATGGTACGGGTTATGGTGTGTTATGGTATGGCATGGCATAGTATGAAATCCTTGGCTATAGAATGATGTAGCTAAGGTTGTAGGATGATATGAAATCTTTAGTTTTAATTGGCACATTCAAGTTTTAATTATAGAAAGTACATTATATTCAGGCCCGTAGCCAGCAATTTCAAAAGGGGGGGTCTTTTTTCTGAAAAAGTGGACCTTTTCCCATAAAAACTTTATGTACCTAGATCAAATTTTACCCAGATTGGACCTTTTCCCAGCAAAAGAGGGCGGTTCTTTCGAACCCCCCGATCTCCCCCTGGCTACGGGCCTGATATTTTTTTTCTCATAATTTCTCAGTCATTAACTCGGTGATCATTATTCCAAAAGGTTCAGATAGTAATATAGATATCACAGTATATAAGTAATATATATGATAATTTGCTATCACTTTTATTCCAGCCACAACACTGAGACAACTCACTGGCTAGACCCGAGGTTATCAGAGAAGAAGAAACAGTCTCCATTAGAGTGTGATGAAGATGGTGAGTTTTTGACGTTATCTTTGCAACAGGTGTTCTGGGCTCATGCTGGCGTAAACTGGGTCTGGGACACAGGGCCCTGTAACTCGAAAGCATCGCAAATTGCTACAGAGCGCAAGAGTCTCTGTTAAATAACTCGGCATTTACTCGCCCCCATATAGTAGCCCTGAAATGAAAGGTGATATCGCTATTGCAATTCACGATACTTTTCAGTTATTGAGCCCAGATGGATGTCAGAGGTCCTGAGAAACCTCGGGGGAGGCAGGGTGGGCAGGTTCCACTGAGCCAAATAAATGCATTAATTTTGTTGAACACAGAAATACTAAGCTATATATTTTTATCTAAAGAAACAATTTTATTTTTATACTGCTGCTTTGTGTTTGATTTGGATTAGAATTGAAAATTTAAAAAAAAAATACATTTTTGGCTATCAGTTAGAAGAGCCAGGATGAGCCTGAATACACTCCTCATATTACAGTGTATGTTAAATGTAATATGAACTCCTGGAAATGACTTCTCTGAAAACAACAGAAATCCTCTGTACAGTTATGGTCTGGTTGTTACCAGTCAAGGTCATTTGGACAGTAAACTATTAGTTCATGTTTTCTGCTGTGACAATGCCTTTCATGTTTGTGGCAGTTTTGAATGTACTGATTTGTGATGTTTGTTGTTTGCCCTTGTTTTCAGAACACATGAGTGAAATGTATGAAAATGTTATATGATTTCCCCTTTTACATATTGCACTGTGATTGCTTTTAGTAAATGACATTTGGGGTTTGATGAGAAAATTCTCACTTTCGTATGCCCATCTATATAGAGAAATTCTGAATTGTGGACAATGCTTTGAGACATATGTTGTGTACTAATACTTATGACAATTTAAATGTGAAATAACATGCACTGTTTATCATGGCACTTCTGTTATGGACATTATTGTATTTTTGCTATTGTATTAGTGACTGTGAATTCTGGATCTTCTCTGTGCATGTGGATGTGGGTTTGTTGTCTTGGTTGTACTGAAGCTTGCATGATGTTATTTATCTTCAAGAGTGCTGGGGGTTGATCTGCTGATCTGACACACCATGAAACAGATTCTAATCATCTTATTCTTGTCATTGTTTTCCCCTTAAGGCCCAGTTTTATATGTAATATAGTTACTGTATCCAAATAGCTTTTTAATATTATTTCTATCTCTTTATTGAAAGGTCATTGTGAAACAATCTTGCATTTTATTTTTTTCACACCTGTTATTTCTAATTATTTATATATGTTTATCACTCATAAAATCATTTTGATATTCATACCAAAAATTTTATTTTTTAAAATTTTATACATGGGAATTTGTCAACAGGAATTTTCTTTAACATTAATACAGTATTATAGGTAATAGATGTTAAAGAAAGTAGATATCCTTTCATCATTGGACAGTTTTTAAAGCACCTTTTTGTTCATTCTTGTCACTCGCACCCTTTTTCTCTCACTGCATGTCTTAAAAGCAGGTTTGGATATTGAAACTGGTGGAGCTCTTCATTTTTTCATTGCATTTTTCATTTCTTATCTTAATCCTGCGTACCTGGTATTGTGTTAGTTATATTTAGTATTATTTGGCAAAATTCTTAGCTTTAGTAGGTAAGCATGTTGTGCAGCTATTTGTACCTCTGTTGTATTTTTTTCTTCAGCAAGTTAGGCAGTGACTTTTGCATGTAAATTGTTTATCAAACTTTGAAATCTGTTGTTATTTGGCTGTCATTTTGTCTTATCCATGTCACATGAACATCAAAATTCTTCAAAAATATTTGCTGATCTTTCCTGTTTACAGATCGAAGAAATAAAGTTGAAAAAGTCGAAAAAGATCAGCAACCCTTAAAACCCACAATGCCAGGTATGTTACCCTACATTCTTGTATTTATGTTGCATTTCCCATTCAAACCATGTGCCTTACTACAAGTAGATTGCAGTAGGTGAGATTACATCACAGCTAGCACAATCATTGCCTCAGCTACTTTGTTTCACATTGCAGCAGTTTCTGCAGCCAATAGTATCACCTTGATTGGTTTTGATTTCACCTCATCTCACTCATTTTTTCATAAGATCATTTAATTCACTGACTTCATGAAATTGCTGTTATTATAATTTCATCTCAACTTGCACCGTGTCATCTGTTTAAAATCAGGCCAATGTCCAGTTTTCTTCTCAGAATCTTTTTGCCTGTTGAAATCCTTCTGATTTAGATCAAGATGCTCTCGTAAAAAAAAAAAAATTGGTTTTGTTTATAAAAAACTACAAAGAGTTCAAGAAAAATATTTTGTAAAAAAGATGTTGTAAAGAGGAAAATTCACTGAACAGGCCTTGAGTCTTTGATTGCGTTAGATGAGAACTGGTCTCAACCAGCGCAATGATAATCAAAACAGATCACACAGCTGGGCATGTTCAGCATCCACAGTGATACTGTAATAATAAAGACCACATCCCAGAGGTTTTATCAAGTCTCGGTGTTTTCGTTTCTGACAGCTGTGTTTATGCACCTGGATTTCCAGGAATCTGGGATTTCCGGGAATGTGATATGTTATCCCTGGGAAGTCAATCTCAGTGCTCAGGTGCTAGTTGTGGTGCTGGGAAGTATGGGAGGTATGCTAAGAGGAAATACCTGGCTTGCTTCATTGAGGTGTTTACACTTTTGGTGAATAATTAATATGTGAGGGCACGCACGTGTGTTCGCAGTCACTTTCATATTTATGATAAATAATGAATACTGTCTTTTATTGTATGCCTAGTGTTATGTGTGTATTTATAATTGTCTTGAATTTTATTTGTTTTATGATAGAAGAAAATATGCATCTTTTTCAGTCAATGTGTAAACTTTGAATTGGACATTCATGCAGCTGTATTTTTTCTTATTTCCAGAATTATTATATTTCATAGCTTTTCTTTGTTCTCCTTAAATGTCATAATAAAAATTCCATTTGTTATTGAAATGACACATGTTTAACCTTTGAAATGACACATTTGGCACGAAGTACTGAAAGAATTCAGCCACTTCAGCAAACTGCAGTGTATTCTATTCCTTACACTATTCACTAGGGGTATTTGATTTTTTTTTCCTACAACTGACAATTTTTCCAGTTCTGTGTCCTGGCAGTTCAGTGACCTTGTCTCAGTTGCTCAGGGACAGATGAAATGTTCATGCTTAATGGAACATGAACTGGTAATCTTTGTGTCTAACAAACAGTTAACAAATAACAAGAAGTGGCTTTGTTCTGCCTCCAGGATGAGAGGTTTATCTGGAAAACTTCTTCCTGGAAAAGTTTATGGTCTAGATCATCCCAATCGGCAAATGACACAGCAAACTCTAAAATCACATAAGCTGTGTATGTGGGAAGTGTGTATTGCGTAGCTGCATGTGTATTTTTTAAACTGATATAAATATTTAATTTTCGGTAGGAAATATTACATGTTGCTCATTATCAGGTTTTACACAGGTGAAAGTGCAAAGCAAAAGGCATTAAAAACCTCTTTACAGAGGATTGAAATATTGGTGAAACTCGTATGATAACAGTTGCTGACAGTTCCAGTCTATGTGAATGTACTGTTTTTGATGTGAACTGAAGACCAACTGAATTGAATGAAGTAGAAAAGGGTGATCCAAATTGATGTTGATATGTCATGTTGTATTAACTGATAATGGTTACTGCATGGAAACACTTCTCCAAATTATCAAATATTGATGCAATAACAAGTGAAAAAATTGGCAGAATGTGACAGTGCAGTCCAAATAGTTAATGTATTGTATCTAAGGGTAGAGCATAAGCATAGAGATTATAATAAATATCATGGGATATAAATATAGATTATAATACCCTCAGGAAATTCAAGCCACTTAAGTTGATACTAATGGAACTAGCTGGTATGAAATTTGCTGAACACTAGATATTCAATTTGTTAAAATAGATGATCATTTAGATCTCAGACAGTAAGCAGATAATAGTGTCTATGAACATTACTTAGGAGACCAGTAGTGATACCAGTGGAACAAACAGCAGTAATGGAAGCTGAAGTTAATGTAATACCAGGCTTTACTATCTCATTACCAAGAAGACTTCAGGGAATTATACTTTAAATAGCTGTTTGAGAGGGAGGAGTGGATAATTTTCAGTTAAAAGCCAGAAAATTTACTAACAATATTGAGCAACAGAGTAATTGCTTTACAGGAGAAGTGGGAGGCAGTTTTACTCCCTCATTGAAATTGTGTCTGGCAGTTTAAGTAAAGAACTCATGAATAAATTGAGCAATCTTCAAAATAGTTCTAAATTTGGATGATATAAAGGGATATTTGAGGAGATAAATGCTCAGGATGATGGAGAGCATCTTATTAAGTTGACACTTCAGCTGTTTAATACTCCAAGAGATAGATATTTGAATTGCTAGAAGGGAAATTATGATTATAGAATTATTCCCTGGAAATAAAGAATCAACCGGATTCAGCTCATTGGAGCAAGGTGGCACTGTAGTATGTAGGAGAAAGTAAATTATTCATTGTTTTTTTTTTTAATTGATTTTTTAATGGTAATTAAAACATTCAACAGTATCAGTGAAGTTGAGATGGCCCAGGATAGCTGCAGAAGCTTGTTTCAAACAATTCTTCATAATCTGTGGTTTTTTATGAAATAAAATAAACATTTTCTGGACTCCTCACTGGCTGATAAGTTTATTTGAATATTAGGTATATTGTTTTGGGGCAAGAGGAACACACAAAGCAAGCTCTGTGTTGTCACAATAGATCTTCTAGTCTTGTAATTGGAATATGTCCATAAGGACTGGAAAGAGATGCATTATTTCTTCAGTCTGGTTCATCATCAGGTTGACGTGACATTTGACACCATTTAGACAGTCAAAAAAAGAGAATAAAACAGCTTGACACTGACATATGTCACATATGTGACAATGCATGGAGAAATGGCAGACGTCTCTTTGATATTGGACAAAGACAGGTGAAACTTGGGGGGTGAGCTTAGCGTTTGAAGGGGGCGACAGCAGGTGCAACTAAGCAGCCAATCCGGAGAGTGTCAGATGACAAGTTCGACATACTTTTAGATGATGATGTGTTTTATTTGTATCAGGTTGATAGATGTAGTTTATCAAAGTGACTGTATTATAATATAAGTTTTTGTATAGCTGTCAGAAGAATGTAGTTATTGTAAGTGATCCTATAGATTGTCAAATTTTTCTTAATGCAATTGACGTCAATGCAATTTGCTACAATTAAAGAGATTGATATGTTAACTTTGGACAAGAAGTAGAATGCATGTAAAATTCAGTAAGCAGTGGTTTTATGGGAAATCATTCAAAGAATGGCAGTAAAATTCTTAATTGCAGAAAAAAAAAAATCTGGAGTTTATAAGGAATTTAGTTGACAACTAATTTAAATTGACATGAATATATCTTGTGTAAGACTTACCTGAAGGGGCTAAGAGAAAATGAAATATGTTAAGTCAGTTATTTACAAGATAATTGAGAATTACTTTACATACATCTGTATGCTGAACTAATGTCTAAATTGGCATATTAAATTAAATTAAATTAAATTAACTTTGATGTGGGTGTAATTCTCCAGATACTTATGTGATACACGTATTCCTGTCATTATACAAACTTTAATCTGGGTGGTTGCCGTCCAGAGATGACCCGTTGATGACCATGAGTGACCAGTGGTGACCGGAGCTCTATGGTACAGGGGTGTGACCACTGGCTACCTGTACAGTTTAATAGCCATTATTAGGGGGTATTAGAACCCAGGTATTAAGTCCTGTCTCTCTGCAATAGCTGGTATTAAGAGGAGATTAAGGTACCTGTGTTATCATTGTAAGACCTGGTTGGCCTTATGCAGGTATGTGGGGGGGGGGGATGAAGTTGTTGTCATATTAATATCTGTAAGAATTCAGTATCTCTTGCCGTAGGTTGTTTTTTAGGGGGTGATGGCGTTCAGCAATTTTACCCAGGACCATTTATCTAGATAGAGCTTATTCTAGAAAGTTAAAGCTATCCCTTTTCTGGACAAGAGTTATTTAAAGAGATAATGACCTAATAGAAACAGAGCCAAGCACTATCTGTGGGCTGTCAGAGACAAGGCCATCACTGATTTTTTTCCCAGATAAAGACTTCAACCACTAGTTGTAGACAGAGGGACATTGTGGCCCAGTTGTTGTTTAGTATTGATATTGTTGTTGGTGGTAGTAGCAGGCGTTGGTGGACTGGCCACGAAATGCACGACGTTCTGAGAAGACTTGCGACTGTGGAAGATTTGAACATCCTCTCCCAGCTAGGTGAGAGAGAATTTGCTAGTGACTCCTCCTCTGAGATATATTTTTATAACTCATCATAAACTTGAAAACATTTGACTTAATGTTAGTATGTGCATGAACAGTACTAAAGATTTGGTTATTAAGTTTGGAGTTTTAAGATGTGTACATAGATCTTTTTACAACATATTTAAAAGGGTGACAACTTTCAGAAATGTCTTGCTGGCCCATTGATCAATTCCCGTCAAAGAAAGGCTATTGTGATTTTTTTAAAACTTAAAGCCTCACAAAAAGTTGATGCAAGCTAAGTGAATAGCAGGATTGAAGTTGACAATGAAATCCCTTCAAAAAGTGTTTCTGCAGACAGGTAAGAGGAGTTCAGGAGACAAAGTAGTCCCTGCTGAGGGGATCATACATTCTGAAAAAGTAGCAGGAGCTAAACTGACAAAGGACTTTTGAAAAAAGAAAAAAAAGTTTATGCAGTAAGCCAGTAGCGAGCAGAAGTTACTTCAACAAAGAAATCAGCAGTAAAGTTTTTATATGCACAGGTAGCAGAAGTTCAGAATAACAATGGCTGTGTTTTTGT